GAGACGAAACATCAGGCTTCCATCATGCAGCCTAAACCCAGGAGCACATCTCACACTTTATACTTGCCACGCCACCCAACCCCCACATTTGGGCACAAAAAAAAAGTCACAGAGCACACAACGAACCAAACACAAACAAACAAAGTCCCGCCACTGGCGGGCGCCAGAACAGAAAAACTTCACTGGGCATTGGTGTACTGGCACACAATAGACGTATACACTAGACGGAGCATCAACATCATCGCCGGTTTCCCATCATCATAACACCGGTCGACCCGCACATACTACAGTGGAATTTCTACTAGCAACACACACCCCCCACAGCAATCATAAAATGCACCCCCCCCCACGGCAGAGCAATTAAAGGAAGGCTCCGCATAACAGCTCCACAGGCATATAGGGGTAAGCACGGTCAAAGTGCATTTATACGATAGGCGGCTACAACCTGTCACATTTAGGAGCGCAAGCGGAGAGCGGTCCACGGCCCGGGGCAGCAACCGCTCCCAGCGGCGAACAAGTGCCAAAAAATTAACATAATACAATGACAGCACCAGCATCAACTTACGACACACATTAAGCACACAACAGTGACACAACGAGAATGCTATAGGAAGACATCACACAACACCAACGAAAGAACAAAGACGATTTAAACCATAACTCTACAGTACAATTTACTAACAATGGAATACACAACCAAAACGACATAATAAAATTGATCATTTAGAATCCCATGAACTAGCTCATACAGAATAACCTGTTTTTAAACGTATCCCAATTCTCCACTTATAAACTATCACCAATAACCAGGAACATACATAAAATAGAGTGACCCGGAAAAAAGTATACATAAGGGAGAACCAAAAAACGTTGAGCACCAACACCGAAGATAAACACACGGCACGGAGAGAGAGAGAAGAGTACCTCTTAGCACACTGAGCTCACAGCACAGACACTCAGTAGGACAAAAAACCCACTACAAAATCGAAAAAACTCAGTAGCGTCACACAGCTCGCTAGTACCAAGAGAAGCCGCAAAAGAAGCGATGCCCGGTCCCCGGTGCGCCTCCTCTCACAACCACCAACCCGCGGTAAACAACGATACACACAATGAAGAAACAGACAAACCTGAATCAGGAACCACATCTCCCAACACGGGAAATCAAACACCGCCGATACTCCACGGCACGCCCATCACCCGGAGACAAGCATTGAAGACAAAGTTAACAAGGGCCACAACACGGCACCAAGCACAGCAAAAAGGCCAGCTGCGCAACCCACCAGCACAAGAACCAAAAGCTAGAATGAAACAAAAAAAAAGAGAACACCTCCCAGAAGAAAGGACGGTAAAATCAGCATTATCTGAAAACATACAAACTTTCAAAAAACAAATAATGACATTTCACAACATATTTTTTTTATAAACATCAGAGCACCTCTTATAACAAAAGTATATAAAAATAACCATAACTCCCTCCACGCACTCACCCCCGCACCCACACACAAAACACAAGGGACACTCACAACAAACAAGCAAACAATCAGCCGTCTGACGACACAGAAATGAAGCGCCCCAATAGAAGCAAAACACATGCTCCTTATCAACCGCCAAGAGGATAAACAATGGAGCAGGACGTGTAGGCCCAGGAAGATCTTGGAGCGCAAGGCACCCAGCGACGCGAACTCAAAAAACAGCTCTAATTGTAAATAGCACAACCGCACAAACATCACTCCTAAGGCCCAGCACAGGCCCAAGTCCGCGCAGCCAGCAGGAGACACCCCAAGGTTCCATTATACAAATCCAGAGCCAAAGACACCGAGAGACGGCTCCTACAACGGCGGTTCACAAAAGCGCGCAACGCGAGATAGTCAGGTATCTCTAAGAACAGAGGACAGGGAGAGAGCGAGACCTCAGGCAAAAACAGAACGAGCGCAAAAAGAGCCAAACGGCACAGCGAGAGAATGGTCAGAGAGAGAGCAGGTCTAAATAACAGAGAATAAAACAAAACAACGCGAAAAAAAAGTGCGTGTCAACACATCAGCTCGCTGCACCTCTAGATCCAGCTGCCCTAGTTAGCCCCTACACATATCAGATGGCTAGAAAGCGTGTCTAGTTCTTGGAGCGGCTCAGGGTCAAACAGACGGGATAAGGCATCCGGCTTGGCCAAGAGCCAGCTTAAATTACCCGCTACAAATATCACAAATCGACACACTCTCCTCACTCTAAGAGCTGAGTCTCATGCGCAGCAGTAGGTAAACAGACGGGATAATTTGCACCAGTACAATCACAGTCTGCTGCCAGCCACTACAGGAAAACACCTACACAGACTATCAGGGCCAACTCACGACGCAAACAGTAGCCATATGTTCATTCAGTTTTCCCTGGGGACAGCCCACACAAGGAACGAGCCGGATACCAACAGAGCCACGAAGACATATAATCTACACATCCTCCGAGCCGCGAGTATAACACTGACAGTAGTACACGCATCGCCTCCTACCACAGACTGTCGAACGTGGATCTGGATGGTGAGGAGGGAACGCGCAAGAGGCGAACACAATCCTTTCTAGCCAGCCAGAATAGAAAATGCGCCCAAACCGAGATTTAAGATCCACATCTACCAGGAAATGAAGAAACGCAGGATCATGGTAAGAGGATGCAGCACAGGTGAAACAACCCTAACCAGAAAAAACTGGCAGAATTGGATTCCCGATGAAAACGTCTATGAGCACAAAAAAGTAGCAAACCCCAGGGAGCAATAGAACGAATCCTGAAAACGTCTTCTCTACGAAAACTGCAAACCAGACTGCTGTAGTTTTTTCCTGTTAACAGGAACTGGCCACTCGCCACCGGCACTGACCTTGGCAGGTCCATCTTTATTTGACCGCGAGGGCAATGATGAAACCTTAGAACACGATGTGGTTTGGACATGGAAGTCTCGCCACTTCTCCTGCCTTTGACATAAAGTTGGTTCTGTAGCAGGCCGGTCGAGGACTTGACGGACATGCTGCTGGTGGGTTTATGTTGTCAGGAGAAAAAATCAAAATGTCATCAAGAATAAACAAACACAAACTTATCAGGAGAGCCCCCAACACCCATTTATGACGAGCCTGAAACAATGCCGGTAACTTGTTAAACATGTGACTTATCAGTAACTTAGACATCGTAAACACAATTTTTAATCGGATTTATTGTAGATAAAACATTTTACTGATACCAACTATATAATATTTAACCTGTTCAATTAAAAAAATAATATATATATATATATATTTTTTAAATATATATTTTTTTTAATGACAATCAAACATGTGGGAAGAGGGGGGGGGCGGCGCCCCTATCGCCCCTATGGGCCGGCCGCCACTGGGTAAGATACTTTTTCCAAATAACGATGAACAAAAAATGTTCACTAACTAATCTCAGATTGAGATGACAAAAAATTGAGAACAAAATTAAAATCGCTCACGTGGTGAGGAACAAAACTTTTCTTGAGCACAAAAGAGCATAGACCTGACCATGGCAAAATACAAGACGAACTGACACTGAACACTGGGAGACAGGGGAATTTAAACACATGACAACAAGACACAGGTGAAAACAATCAGGGGCGGGGCTGGTGATGATGAGCACAAGAGACACAAGGGGTGGACACTAAGGAAGCCTGGAATGAGAGATAAATGGAGAGTGACAAAACAAACATAAAACAACATGAAAAATGAATCTCTCTAGCATTTCTGTCGGTGCACAACAGCGCTGCTGGCCAATGGAGACCGACGTTGCCACATGGCGGCGATCTTGCCACAGCCATCTCGCTCATTCATAACATTATGTCTATGGTGCACTATTGAAATAAGATTGCTAAATGTTCAACTAATTTTCAAACGGTTTGGTTTGTTATAAACATCAAAGATGTAGTTATGATACTGC